ACACAAACACACACACACACACACACAGAGGAATACTATTTAGCCATAAAAAACAAGGAAATCCTGCCTCTTGAGACAACACGGATGGACCTTGAGGGTATTATACTAATGTACTTACTTATGAAGTAAGTTAGACAGAGAAAGACAAATATTGTATTGATCTCACTTATTTGTGGAATTTAAACAGATAAACAAACAAATGCTTAGAAAAAGAGATCAGATTTGTGGTTACCAGAGGCAGGGGTTGGGGGAGAAGGGATTGGATAAAGGTGGTCAAAAGGCACAAACTTCCATGTTTAATAAGTAGGCACAAACTTCCATGTTCAATAAGTACCAGGGATGTAATGTACAACTTGATGGTTATAGTTAACACTGTTGTATAATATATATGAGAGTTGCTGAGAGTAAATGTTAAGAGTTCTCATCATAAGAAAAATTATATATATACTTTTTTTGGTATCTATATGAGATGAATTGATGTTAGCTAAATTTATTGTGGTAATCATTTTATAATATATGTAAGATAAATCATTATGCTGTACAACCTAAACTTATACAGTGTTGATTATCTTTCAGTAAAACTAGAAAAAAAAGAAAAAATTCAATAGCAAAAATACAAATTAATATTTAGACAAATATTCTCTTCACTAGAAAATAGTCTTATACACTGAAAATATTATTAGGTTTATAAAAATAAAGATCCTTCAATAATGATTTTTAATATGAAATATGAAATAATTTCCATATGTCATCTTCTTTTCTTTTAGGTGAATCTGTTTTTCCTATTAAATATTGTACGTGTTCTCATCACTAAGTTAAAAGTTACTCACCAAGCAGAATCCAATCTCTACATGAAAGCCGTGAGAGCTACGCTTATCCTGGTGCCATTACTCGGCATTGAATTTGTGCTGCTTCCATGGAGACCTGAAGGAAGGATTGCAGAGGAGGTATACGATTACATCATGAGCATCCTTATGCATTATCAGGTATGGTGTTCTTGCATCAGGAAGGCACCCTGTGAAATTTGGTTTAAATTTACATACAGCTTTGGTTTTAGTTTTTACTAATATGCAGTAAGTTGGTTACAAATAATGTATCTTTTCCATTTGGAATCAGATAATTCTGTTTTTCTTTTACAGGGTCTTTTGGTATCTACAATTTTCTGCTTCTTTAATGGAGAGGTATGGTGATTGGTTTTATTCCTTTTATCATTTTATATTTGCAATACATTTTTTCTTTTAAAAAAAAGGAGACAGAATTATACGTGCCCTAGGAACAACTATTTCAAATTCCATTTGTATCAAGGAAAAGAACCATAGAATTTCTTTTTCTAGATGCAACTCTCCTTCCCAAAATCTCAGGTCATAATGGAGCTCAAGGCGAGGGCAAATTCAGACTCACTTTAAAATATTCCATCAATAGCTTTTATTCATATAGTCTTTCAACCTACCTTTCGAACTAGTCCTCCTAAGTTTGGACTTTGTCCTAGGTTGAATGTTAGGCATTCCTTATCCTCCTAGAACTTACACTCTAATAAGAAATAGAATTGTTTCGTTTCATTTTCCCCATTCTCTCTTTTTGCCTATCTTCCAGCGTGGTCTTTGGAAACAGTTTTACAGTGAATAAAAGAGGGTTTTAAAAAATTTAAACTCTCAGTTATGAAGGAAGGAGCTGCGATGGGTTAGGAAACAGAATAGATTGCTCTAATTCATAATATAGAAACATTTTCTTGGATATTTGAAGATTTTTATCCAAGGCTTTCCTAATTGGAAAGTCTATGGCATTTTAGAAATTTGTACCCTATTTCTTATGCATATGAATAGTGCTATAGCTCAGAGGTTTTAGTTCTTTGTATGTTTTTAATCCACTTGATAAATTTTTAACCTGTTGGAGGATTTTGGCAAAATTCAACAAAATTTAGAAATTCAGACAGCAACTGAGTGAGACTTAAACACTTGGTATCTGTGAAGCTTATCACAAAGCTTCAGATGGTCCATACATGAAACCAGTGGGTGTAACTTTATAAGAACTATTCCTATAAAACTAATCTATGTTAGAAATCATGTACATGCCATGAAAAACTACAAAATATTGCTTTCCCTTGTTTATGTGATACTTTACTTCTTTCTCTTGGCATAGAATAAAATTGCATATTTGATTTTTAATCAACTATAAAATATAGGTATTTACTTTATATACTTATTATTTACGAGATGTAGAACTACCAAGCATAGTAGACTATATTCCCTATCTTTAGGTGTTGTTTCCATGATTCTTCTGCTGAGTAGAGGACAAGGGTGACTTTTTCTGAACTCAGTGAGAAGCACAGACAGAGACTGCAATTAGGAAGAATACATACATCATTTGTTTTAATAATAAAATTCAAATTGTATTTATTGTGTACCTCTATAAATTTATTGTCATATAAACTGAATTAGGCAACACTAGTTACTGCCTGTATAGGATTTTACAATTAAATATAGATGAGAGAGATAAGGACAATGTGTCAGAAAGCACGTATGAAATTACAGAAGATACACCTTTGGTCTGCAGTAAGAGATTTGATTTTTCTAAAGGGTATTTTTAAAATGTACAAAACATAATCACTAGCAAAATATTTTGTGATGGAAGGCAGTGCAGAATAAAGGCACTGACACAGGAATACATTTAAACCTCAAAGATGCCACTTTGTTCCTGGCTGTGACATCTTGGGCAGTGCTCTGAACCTCCAGGAGTCTCAGTGTGTACTTTTTTAAAGGGGAATAAATGTAAGTTCCTTACACAAATCTTCCTGGGAGTAATGTAAACTAGGAATGTAAAGTTTTTAGCCCCATGGTCCACCCTCAGTAAGATACTCATTACATTATAGATTCCTTATTAGATTTGTCAAATCACTCATTTTCATAAATATATGTACAGATGGGAACATTAATCATATTGGAATCAAATCTTCAATTGGTTTTTGTATTTGGAAAAAGTGCTCAGAGAATATCTAAACGAATGTCTAAAACTCTAGCTGCATTCTATCTGTGTAAGCAGAAGATATACTGGGCTTGATCTTTTGCCATGTCCTAAGATTGAGAAAATTTTGGCACTGGAAAATTACAATAATATAAAACCTTTGAGCCAAGTTGTTACCAAATCCTTCAGCTCCTCACAACATCTCCAGTATCTGTCCCCTTTTCTTCATCTCTCGAGACTCAGTCCGTTTATGTATGACTCATTTCTCATCTTAAGAAATACTATAATCCTTACTTTTTTTGTCTCTTTGCCTCTACTTTTTCCCACTCTCATGACATGAAGACATAGCTGCCAAATTCATTTTGTGTGGTTCCAACTATGTCATGTTCTTCTTAAAATCATTTGCTCAGACTCAGTTTCCTTCTGGTTTTCCACGTCAAGTCAAATGGCTTGCCTTTATCTTAATATGTATATTTGTTTTTTTATTCTCACATTTTATTTTTATTTTTTAGCCAAAATATTCCTATTTGCATTTCCCACTTGTTAAATAACTGTGGCCTGACAAGTACTCAGACCACTTTCATCTCATCTCTAGGCCACTCAACCAAAAAATGTGCACTATTAGCTAACTAGTGACTCTAGTCTAACCAGAAGGGCCCTCCCTAATCTCATGGTTATATTTAACATGAGAGTAGATGTTTTTAAAGAGTGAACAAAAAGATTTGTTCAGAATAACCACTTTCACATTCTGTATTGAGAATGAGGTAGAATTTTTTTTATATAAAGCCCTATTAAACATCTTCTAATTGATCTAGGTTAAGGAGTGTAGAGTTGCTTTCTTATCAGGTACTAATGGGCATGTAAAGCTATATTCTTTATATTGCATAAAGTTATATGTTACTGTGTTATCATCTAAAAAGTTGAAATTACTATTTATATAACACTTATGTGTAAAACAATGGAAAACATTTCTGTATCTTTAATAACACCAGGTAGGCTCTCTTCCCGAATTCCAATGGCAACATTTTCCTTGCTATCATTCCCGATTAAATTTTTCACATTGTAAGTTTGCTAAGAGTGGCCACTTTGATACAGCTGTGATACTGTATAGAGAAAGCAGATGAAAAAATAACATTCTTATAGAGAATAATATAGATAAACAGACATCTACAAGGACTAGAAGTCTTTAATTAGCTTTATCTTTAATTCAGTAGATAAGTCAGGAAATTGTCTTTCCGTGGTTTTTCTGATGATTTAATTGCAAGGAAGAAATAAGGTGATGATTTTAAAGTAGATACTTTGAGAGCAAATAGATATTTCAAAAGCCATTTTGGCTTTTAGAATTGAATTTAAGCTTTCTTTTTTAAGATTATAAGTACTACTTTCACAGCTAAAATATTTCTTCATGTCAACTGCTTCCCAACATTTATGTAGAGTCATTTGTACAAAGCTCCATTCCACTTCATTTCAAATGGAAACTAGATAGCACTTGTATTCAACCAGTCCAGTGTTTAGTAACAAAGTGAGAAGTTGATTAGTGTAAAACTTAGGATCCAAATCAATTCCCATTAGAAATATCTAGATAATTGGCCAAATGTAATTTTTGTTTTAAATCTCTGAATATTTAAAAGTCACACTCTAAAGCCATTCCACTTACCATTTGCTTATGTTCTTGAAGATACTACGTATGCAGATGTTATTTTTAAATTTCTTTAATTTAAATGTTATTTGGAGAATTTAGAAATACATTACAAACCATGAGAAAAACAAAGTGTAATTTTTGTAAGATAAATGTATTGTCCTATAAATACTTTTATTTCAAAGAAAATTTATGTGAATATAAATTATTTCCTTCAGATATATTACCATATGAAAAGAAGTAAGCTTGAAATCCCTGAGGTTCTGAATTTCATAGTAATGTAACTTTTAAAACCAATATATTACATTTCTAGTTACATAATTTTTGAATTATAGCATAGAGAAAAGCCTCCTGGAAATTCTAATAACTCATTCTGAATTTTTACTAAAGAATCTCACTAACTTTCCATTTGTTTCTTTTGTTTTTCTACATGCTAAAACATGAAATGAAACAGTGCAACTTTGTGTTCATTTGAAGTGACAAAATAAAGGAGACTCTAATAAGACTTTAAAGTATCCCTCAGAGCTGTAGACATCCTAGGAATACCTATTTACCATAGAGTGTTTGTAATTTGGAGAAGTAAGTTTTCTTGATATATTAGACAAGAAAATGAAAAGACTTAAACAAGCCAGCCCTCTTTTAAAGTTTAATATTGATTTGTACACTTGAATATAGTGAATAAAAAGTTCGGGAATTCTATATAATTAGTAGAAAGCTGGACAGTATTCATAAGTATGTTTGTAGTACATGAATTACTGGAAAATTGCTTTTGGATACTCAGATTTCTTTTAGGGGTCAAAGAGCTGTAGAGATTTGGGGTAGACAATTCAAAGCTATACATGCTTTGGAAAGACATAGATCAGGTCACAGGATGTAGCTAATACATTTTTCGCCTAGAAGCTCACTGCTCCAAACGGGTCTGCTCCCTCATCAGACATGGAAATGTGGAGGTGATCCAGTTGGAGATGTATTTGAATATTCTCATTACATGCTCACCAACTCAATACGAAGAAAACCACCTAACTGTCTTACGTTCAGTTAAAACCAAAGTCATTACATAGGGCCTACCCAGCTATGATCTCTAACCCCAAGCAGAGAAGAAGAGTCATTAAACTTCAAATTTATCCAGGCAGAGGTGAATCTAAATACAAAAAAGTGGAGTGGTGACATTCCTAAACTTTTTTTTCATAATACTCATCCCATTTGTAATTATCTGTTCAACACATCTTCCCTCTGGATCATAAGCTCCATTAAGACAAAAATCCTGCTCTCCCCTACCCCCCCAATGTAGCTCAAGACCTGACATACGGTAATCACTCAATAAAAGGTTGTTGCTGCTGCTGTTGATGGTGATGATGATAATGATATATATTCCCTGTATCCCTGACTTCTTTTTCTTCTATCTCTTTTCCCTCCTCTTTCATATTCTCACTAATTATCTTCTCGTTCTTTTAATAGAAATATTGATATAAAATTAAAAGCTGCATGTGCCAGCTTTTGAGGGTGTGGATTAACTGACAACGAGGCATTCATATGCATTATAGACCTTCAAAGATAAGGCACAAACAAAATGAGTTGTTTTTGTTTTCTGTACTCTGTACTAAAGTACAAAGTAATTGCAATGAATTTCCTAATATAAAGATGGTTTACTCAATTTCATTTTTAATTAAGAAGATAGGTAATATTATTCACTAACATCATTGCTTTTTTAAAAAAACAGCTTTTGTACATAACTTACTGTACCATTAAAGACATTATCTTTGCTTCATTTAATGAATTGCTCTTGCCTTTTCTGTTTTACAGGTTCAAGCAATTCTGAAAAGAAACTGGAATCAATATAAAATCCAATTTGGAAACAGCTTTTCCCACTCAGATGCTCTCCGTAGTGCATCTTACACAGTGTCAACCATCAGTGATGGTGCAGGTTACAGTCACGATTGTTCAAGTGAACACTTAAATGGAAAAAGCATCCACGATATTGAAAATGTTGTCATAAAACCGGAAAAGTTATATGATTGATAGTAGAGGGAGTATTGCTGAACTATTTTGTGCCACTTCTAACTCAAGGACTTGGATCCAAGACTTTGCAACCAGAAGACTTCAATATTATATGAATTTCTTGAAGGTGACAAAGAAAACCCTCCCATGAATTCAGTAGTGTGTTGATAAATTTTTCACAATAGCTCTATGGGGGTGGGGGAGAAGCCCTGATTTGTAATGTTTGCCAGTTTTTATGGTGTAAATACTCCCACCATGACTGATTTCAAGCTGTCAACTTGACATCACTGAATGTGGAGTTGGGTACAGATGGGCACAGTCAGTTATTGTAGGCTGGTGTAAGCCAGCTCCAGCACAGCATTGTGTGAATCCACAAGTAAACAGGCTGTAAACATTCACATTGGGTATGAGTTCACTTCTGTTTCCTAAAGAAACCTAGCTAACACCTATAGGCTTGGAGAGAAAATGAGCTTTTCATGCGTTTATTTTTAAATCTTTATCCCATATTCATTGGTGCAGTTGATTTTTTGCCCCAAAAGTATTCTGACCCTACTTGATTCATCCTTTCAAATGGACCAGATAAAGAATTATTCCTGTTGGCTTACACTCTTCTCCTCAAGAAAATAACTGAGCAGAATTATCATCAGCTACTTATTTCCTGATACATCACAGTCATATCCTTTGTCATATACATTTTTGTGACTTGATGAATAGTATGTATTATATGCAGTCCTACTGTGGTATCATCAGGGAGACATCTTGGTTGATACTACAAAACATGTCAACTTCTTTCCTATCTTACTACACAAGTGGAATGGAATCCACTTCCGTGTACCTGTAAATAGAAATTTTGCCCCTTCCATCTTCACTGTGTGGACAAATTAACAATTCTTTTACGTGAAGGAAATCAATGAAGGCTTTCTTATTTTCTTAAAAGTTTTTCTTATTTTCTTAAAAAAATTTGTGAAAAATGAACTTATAAATACTCTGTTATTCTATTTTATAGTCTCAAACCAACCATACTCGATCTAGGTAAGTTTTTTAAAAAACAAATACTTAATGTAACAATATATGCCTGTTAATATCTGATACTGTGTCTGGGCTGATTTTATAATAAAATAGAATCTGGAATTCTATATTTGGTAAATATTTTAAAGACAACCAGATGCCAGCATCAGAAGTTTATCTGAGAACCAAGAGAACAGAAATATCTATGATAAGATATAAAGTATTTATTTTAAAAAACCCTAAAGGCCATTGTTTTATTAAATATATTAGCTTTGGTAATTCATACCTTAATAACAGGTATGTTCTACATGTTTTCCTTTTATTTTGACGACGAACTTTCATTCTAATCCAGAAAGTTTAAACAAGTCCTGTAGTAAATGCCAATCTGCTACTTGTATGGTTTTTACCTCATTAAAAATAATATTTTCTGACTTTTACTATATGAAGATGTATGGCTTTGGAAATGTTCCAGGCTATTTTGCAAAAGGAATACTATATATCATATTACAATGTTTTAATATTTTAATAGAGCTAACTCTATATGATAATACAATTCAGTGAAAGACCTTAATCTATCAGTGAGGAAGAACTGTTGTCAGAATATTTATCGAATAATTTAGATGGAAGAAATCCTTGTTAATGAATTAAAGTAACATTTAAATGGGAATTAGTATCCCTAATGTTATTTTCCATTGAAATTTCTGGAAAACAAAAGTGACTTCAATTAGAAAAAGTTAATTTTGGCAGGAGAATTCATTGTCTATGTGTTTTCTGTGTGGTGTGTCAGTCTGCTTAAAATGGATTAAACCAATGACTTAGTCATCATAGGTTGGTTTTTAAGCTGTCAAAAGATGGTAAGTTCAAAAATCATTTGAAATTGTCCAGGTAGATTATCTAAATTAGTAAGAATTAATTTATTAAATGACCTGGTCAATAGATTTATAATTTATGATCTATCTATATGCATGTAAAAACAGTATTAGTTTCAGATTTATTAATTTCATAATAAGCTGTCATACAAAAAGAACACAGGCTAATCTGGACTTCTTAGTGCCTAAATTATACAAAAATTCCTATAAATAAACTCCTTTTTAGCTAAAGACATAGATTCATATTCTTTGCTGATGTTATTCATGTATTTCAGCATTCTTCCAGACAAACTACCGAGTCTCAACCATAAATAACAGTAGAAAATGTCAAATTATCAGTGAGCATTACATTAAAATTACATTGTAATTTTCAAGTTTTTTTTTTATCATATTAAGTTTAGATCAGATCCTTTATGGTCAGGATTTATCTATTGTACTGTCTTCAGGTATAGGCATTTCATGATTAATCAGTGTTAGTTTTTGTACCCATATTTTTTTAGGAGTAATATCTTTAAGTATTAGATTTCTCAAAAGCTGAAGTGCTAATAATTAAGCTCTCCTTTGTATCTTACTCATGAAGAATAAATAAAATCTATACTTTTAAAAAGCCAACATCTTTGGCATCTAAAAACTTATTTGGGGAATTTCTAACTTTTAAAATACAAATCTGCTACTTTTCTGCAAATAATTGTGAGAGTCATTTTAATTAAAAAAATTCTGTCATTTTTTAATTTCTAAAGTTATTTAGTGCATTTCTTCATAAAATATTTATTCTAGAATTTATTGTTTGTTCAAATGCAATCCAATGTACATAGAAGTAGTGGTAGCTGTAGTGCTGTATTTATTGCTTGATAATTTTTTTATGTGAACTTATTTTAATTTTCTCTTGGTTTTAATATGCTAATTGAAATCACCATTTCTTTTACATCTAAAATATACCCAAGTTATTCTGAACAATTAAAACAACTCATATTATGCCTACTTAATGTATATCTCTGTCATTTGATTGTATGAAAATATTAAAGTTATGAGCTAAAGTTGATCTTCACTCATGTTTACTGGAGTGCTGAATACTCTAAATTATAAACATAATTCTTTACAGCAATCAGTGGAATACCTCTTAAAATCAATGACTGTATCACTATTACTCTCTTTGAAGTCTTCAATAAACCTATAAATCATTTCATACCAATTTATTTAAGTTATGAATTTGTTTTATAAGCTAGAAAATTCCAAATAAACTGCAGTATATGAAAATTCCCTCCTAGGCTGAAAGAAAGGAAAAGATGACCAGAAATAGGAAAATGTACAGATTTGTCTCCTCTCATCATTATATTCCATTGTATAGTTTTGTGCTGAATAGCAGAAAGAAAAAGAAGGAAAAGAACTTTAAATATATATAATTTAAATATATATAACTCACTCTCTTAGTTTTTACTGTATTATACTGGTATAGTAGATTTACACATATTCAAAGATGTGTAACCATCACTACAGTCCATTTTATTGCATTTTCATGATTTCAGAAGGAAACCATGGATCCTTAGCTATTATTCCTCTATCCGCTCATCCCTGCTCCCACCCAAGCTCTAACCACCACTAACCTTCTTTCTGTCTCAATAGACTTCCCTGTGCTGGACTTTCATTTGAATGGAATCACATAGAATGTGCTCTTTTGTGACTGACTTCTTTCACCTGTAATGTTTTCAAGGTACATCCATGTTTTAGCTTGTTTCAGTATTTCATTCCTTTTTATTCCTAAATTATTCCATTGTATGGATCGCCCATATTTTGTTTATTCATTTGTCAGCTGATGGACATTTGTGTTGTTTCTATCTTTTGGCTATTATGAATAATGCTGCTATAAACATTTGTGTACAGGTTTGTTTTCAACATATGTTTTAATTTCACTTGGTTATACACCTAGAAGTGGAAATGTTGGGTCACGTGTTAACTATATTTATTTGTGGACTGCCAAACTGTTTTTCAAAGCAGCTGGACCATTTTACATGCCCACTAGCAGTGTAATGAAGATTCTGATTTCTCCACATGCTTCCCAATACTTGTTATTAACTATCTTTTGTACTTTAGTCATCCTAGTGGGTGTGAAGTGGTATCTTGTAGTTTTAATCTGCGTTTCTTTGACGGCTAATGATGTTGAGCATCTTTGCACATGTTTATTGGTCATTTGTATATCTTCTTTGGAGAAATTTCTATTCAAATCTTTTGTCCATTTTTTGGATTGGATTGTTTGTCTTCTTAATATTGAATTGAAAGAGTTCTTCATGTATTCCAGATGTAGGTCCCTTATCAGGTGTACGATTTGCAAAAATTTTCTTCCCATTCTGTGGGTTGTCTTGTCACTTTCTTGATGGTATCCTTCATAGCAGAAAAGTTTACAATTTTGATGAAATACAATGTTTATTTTTTTCTTTAGTTTTCTTTTGCTTTTTTTTTTTTGGTGTCTTATCTAAAAATCCTTTGCCAAATGCAAGGTCACGAAGATCTACTCCTATGGTTTCTTCTAAGGAATATATAGGTTTCTTTTTTCTTACCTTTAGGTCTTTGGTCCATTTTGACTTAATTTTTGTATATAATGTGAGATAAAGGGCCAAATTCATTCTTTTACATGTAGCTATCCATTTATCCTGGTATTATTTGTTGAAAATATCATTTTTGGCATTGAAGAATGTCTTGGTATCCTTATCAAAAATCAACTGATTATAAAGGTATGAGTTTATTTCTGAATAATTCTGTTGGTCTATCTCTCTCTTCATGCCCAAACCACATGTCTTGATTACTTTGCTTTGTGGTAAGTTTTAAAATCAAGTAGTGTGAGTTGTTGCATTTCTTCTTATTTTTCAGAGTTGTTTGGGATTCTGGGTCTCCTGCATCTCCATATGCATTTCAGCATGAGTTTGTCAATTTGTACAAAGAAGCCTGTTGGAATTCTGATGGGGATTACATTGAATCTGTAGATAATTGAGGAGTATTGTCATTTTAATGTTAAATGTTAAATCTTCTGATTTATGAACATTGGATGACTTTATATTCAGCTTTCAACAATGTTTTATAGTTTTCAGAGTATAAGTTTTGCATTTCACTTGTTAAGTTTATTCCTAAGCATTTTATTCTCCCTGATGCTATTATGAATGGAATTTTAAAAAATTTTTACTCTTGGATTGTTTATTGCAAGTGTATATAAATAAAATTAACCTTTGTATATTGATCTTATATCCTGCAACCCTTGCTGAACTCAGTTATAATATATCTTAGTGGATTCTTTATGATTTTCTATGTAAAAGATCATGTCATCTGCAGAGATAATTTTACTTCTTCCTTTTGAATCTGAATGTCTTTTATTTCTTTCTTGTCTAAATGCCATGGCTAGAACGCTCAGTAAAATGCTGAATAGAAGCAACAAGAGAATATATCATTGTCTTGTCCCTGATCTTAGGGGAAAGCGTCCACTCTTTCATCACTAAGTGTGTTAACTGTGTGTTTTCTGTAGATGTCCTTTATCAAGTTGAAGTTCCCTTCTACTCCCAGTTTGTTAATTACTTTTACCATGAAAAGGTGTTGGATTTTGTCAAATGATTTATTTACATCTATTGAGACAATTGTGTGATTTTTGTTTTATATTTTATTTATATGATGTACTACATTAATTAATTTTCAGATGTTAAAACAATCTTGCATCCCTAGGATAACCTCTCTTTGTCATGGTGTTTAATTCTTTTTATGTGTTGCTAATTTCAGTTTGCTGGTATTTTGTTGAGGAATTTTGCATCCATATTCATAAGACATATTGGTCTGTAGTTTTTTTTGTGCTGTCATTTGGTTTTGTTATCATGGTAGTATCAGCCTCGTAGAATAATTTGGATTGTAATCCTCCTTTTCTATTTTTGTGAACAGTTTGTGAAGAAGAATTCTTTGAAGAGTCTGTATTAAGTCTTCTTTGAATGTTTAGTGAAACTCAGTGGTGAAGCCATCTGAACTTAGACCAGATATGGGCATTTTTTTGATCACTGATTCAGTTTCTTCACTTGGTATAAGTCTATTCAGATTATCTATGTCTTCCTGAGCTAGTTTTGGGAGTTGATGTTTTTCTAGGACTATGTCCATCTCACCTAGTTTGTCTAATTTGTTAACCATACAGTATTGATCAACCACTAAGGCTAGTAACTTAACTTTTACCTGGAAATTTTACAAGGAATCTATGATTGGATTTTTAAAAGTCTATATTTTTTGCCATCTTGGAACTAATCAATCACACCAAAAAAAAAAAAAGTCTCTATGCCAGATTTCACTTGCTGTGTCTATAAATATGAGTGAATTCCATTTTTCTCAAGGTTCCCCAAATCTAATATGATTCCTAGCATGCCTGGAATTGTTCTTCCTTACCACCACCAAGCCTGGGTGGGACCTGTAAGGCAAGCACCAAGCCAGTTTTTGCAGGAGGACTTTGTAGTCATTGGCTCTGTAAGGACAGTCAAACTTTCTTCCCCAAATGATCGTAATTAAATTATCATTCTCAAATATGTGACTTCTGGTTAGGTCCTTCAGTACACAATCTATTTGTCCAATTACATACTGGTAGGAAGGAGGGTATATTCTTACTGAACCTATGCAAATAATTATATTATCATGAAAAGTAAGAATATTTAATAAAGGTTGTTTTACCTAAAATTCTGGGGTATCAGAATCTACTATTATTTTTAAATGTTTTATTTCAATTTAAAAATAAAATGTATAAAATTATTATGGGTTATACTCTTAAAATGAAAGACGTTTACTGATATATCCAGAAAAAAGAATATTAAAATGAAATATTAAAAATATTCCACATAAATACAATAGAATATTTTCCCTAATCAGTTCTTTCAGTCCTGTGAAATTAATTCTTGTTATGCTGCATCTCAGGTTAGAAATCTCACCAAGATGTCTATTATGCAACTAAAAAGGTTCTCAAAATTCTGGTTCACTCTACTTGGTATGCTCTGAAAGTCTGTGTGTACTGACACTGGGCATTAGCCAAAATGAAGCTGAGAATTTCATTAATTTTTTTTGCAATATAAGCATCATTAGTAACGTTGACAAAGGTAGGTTCAGTGGAGTTGTTGAGGTAAAAATCCTCATTAGAGTGGTTTCCTGAGAAATGAATTACCATAAAATACTTTTTTGAACAAAATTTAAAAATAGAAAGCATGACAGAATCAAGCCCAATGCATCTAGTAAACATAGGCACAGGGCTTAACGTATATAGTAATTGATTTTCAGCTTGAGTCACAAGAAAAACCACTTTTCTGAGGCAGACAAAAGACAAACCTAAACACTTGTAAATACAAGGATCGGCAAAGGTAGGATACCAGGCAAATCCAAATAACTAAGAAACAGTCCTGCTCTTAATATCAGGCAGGGAGGAATTTAGGTTTTTAAATGAGGCATTATTTGAGGAAAAGAAAGGTATTTTATAATGCTTAACTGGTACAAGTCCAAAAGAAAGCATAACACTTATGAATAGCCATGAAATTATGAATATATAGCAGAAATTGGAAAACTAGATAAAACCACAAAAGTAGCAGGAGACTTTATCTCTCTCAACAATGATAAAGTGGATAGAAATATCAGGAAAAAACCAAAGACATAATTAACATATATGGAAGAGTAAACCTTCCAAACTTCTTTTATAAAGTGAGAACATCATTGAATTCAGAATCAGATATTGCATCAAGGTAGTACAATTGCTATCTTATGAATGTTGATAAAGTAAAATATTGGCAAACAGAATTCAATGCATATTAAAAGATTTTTCATGATCAAGTAAGATCTATTTCAGGAATGCAAGGATGAATCAATATTTAGAAATCTATAAACTTAATACATTATGTTAATAGTATTAAGAGGAAAAAAATCAAACTGTCATCTCCAAAAACAGTGGAGAAGCATCTGACAAAATTCAATTACATACTTAATTTTTTAAAATAATATAAATAAGAAATTTATATATACAGACACTTCACTGACATGATAAAAGATACTTCAGCCCCCAAATTATCATCATGTCAATAGAAAGATACTAGAAGCTTTGTCTCCAGAGTCAGGATCAATATGTGAATGCTTACATATCACGACTATTATTTAATATCCAACTAGATGAACCAACCAATGTGATTCAACAATGCAAAATAA